CATGAGCCCTGGAATTGAGCAATGACAATGAATTGTTGAGCTGCAAGGTTCGGTTAATCTGAAAGCCAGGGTAACATATCATCTCAGTAGTACAAACCTCCGGAAGATGTGATGCCAATTGTTCAATGAGCAAGTTCTCAATTAATGGCAAGACCAAATCAGGCTTCAAGATGTCTCCTAGTCCTAGTCCTGCAACACCAGCACGAACCAAGAGATTAAAAAGAAACCTAGTTGATCAATAACAAGAGTGCACCAGTTTACCATAGCACTTACCAGCATCAGGGTCAGAAGATGCAGCACCTGATGTACCAAGAGAATGTAAGTACAAGTTCAGAGAAGCATATAGGAACTCACACAATGGAAAGTATTTTTAAGCTGGTACCTGATGGCTGTATTGCACTCAGAATTCTCTGCAGATCCTCCAAGCGTACAGGTCCAGCAGCAGACGTCACTTCACCAGCCAAATCAGCAGTCATGCTCTCAACTAAATTCCCAGCTCTGGCATGAAAGAAAGGTATAGAAGTTATCAAACAAGATCGTATGCAAAAAAATGTAAAGCTTTCATCCATTAATATGTAAAAATATCGCAGGTGTAGATGAGAGCAATTTTTTCCCCACATTTTAAGAAAAACTGTATTTGCTTATAACTGCATAATAAAATATCATGATGCAAACAAGGGCAGTGAAAGGCAATGGACTACAACATCAGCCAGATAAAGACGATGCTGACATTGTTTCTGACACTGCATCGAGCATATATATTAATACATGCAGTTTCTATTGCCATGGCCATACAGGTTGATAGGGGGTTAAAAACACATTGGATTTATGTACCTGGAAGAGATATCATCATCAGCCGTATCTTCAGACATTTCTGCTTCAATAGGTACTCGAAGATCAGCCTCAGCATCTGCACAGCAATATGACTTAAGACAAATGACCAAGAACCAAAAGATATGTGCTGACTCCCAACATTAAGAGCTTACCTAATGGTCTATTTATGTAGGCATTAACTTGCGTGCAAGTCTGGGCATCCCCATCAGCATTTGGTTCCTGAAAAAAAAAGAGAGCACCATGATAGTCAAACCTTGAGAATGACAAAAGTGCTACATCTTTCACAACAGAAACTTTCAGTTTCACACATAACTGACCTGCATCCAGAAGAAGAATTTTCTGCTGTCAACTTCAAGATGTAAACCCTTCCAGAAGATTCTGTGACCTAATGAAGTCAACTAGGGTTGATCACTGAAGCATAGAAGTTCAATAGAATAACATGGAAAACATCTTAAACTTATATTACTCAATACCTTCTCAAACACTGCCTCATCAGGAAAGATGATTTGAACCTTTGAAAGATGGAATCAAGGACAGACAAAACTTCTGTGATGCTGATATGAACTAAAAGCAGGGAAAAGTGGAGGCACAATATACAAAGTCCACAGAGGAACCATATATACAGTGTTCGCCTAAACGGATTAAACGGCCGTTTAAACGGCCAGTTAACGGTAAACGGTGGTAAGCTGTTTTGTTTAGGGGGTAAACGGAAATTAAACGGTTGACCGTTTAAACGGTAAAAAACGGGAAAAAACGGCCTTACGGGTCTAAACGGAACGGATTAAACGGGCTAAACAGTTGTTTAAACGGCCGTTTAGGCGAACACGAGGTAAATCTAGTTCAGTTTTGTATGAATAAATTTGTATACTTAAGTTTATTATATTTATAAATGTGTACACTTGATATGTTACATGCATAAATATTTATATTTGGTTCTTTTCACATAAATAAATATATATACATACCAAAATAATTGATTTTTACTCGGATAAATATGTATAAATGCTAGAATACTTGATTTTTTACATGCACATATATAATTATATGTATTTTTTTTTAAAAGTACAAAACCGTTTAGACCGTTTAACTCCGTTTAAACACCGTGTAAACAGCCTAAACGCTAAACGAAGGACGACCGTGTAAAGACCGTTTACCGTTTAGGAAAACATTGCATATATAAGTTCAAACATTTGAAACAGGCACTTTCCGCAAACTAGGATTTCTAGCACAGCAAGAATTTCTTTGAAGTATTACTATCAACTAAGAAAACCAGAACAGAGCAAGAAGTGCCTACAAAAAATACACGTGCAAGAGGATACATCTTCAACGATGTTCTGTCCACGATCAAGCCACTGAAAATGGACTAAGCCTTCTTCACCCTACAAAAGAGAGGTTTGCAGTGAAATTCAAATAAAGAAATAATCAACTAGCTTAGAAGTTCTATTGTTGAGCTTAGTATAAGTTTCAGTATCCATACCCTCCCAACACGGACAAGACCCTTGCGTGTGTCTGGAACCACTCGTGTTCCCTCACGAGACATCTTACCGGCACGAAACTCACACATGATATCCTGACAAATACATCAAGGAAATACATTAATACACATTTACCAATTTAACAGCTTATATGATATAGCAACAAAGCAATGAGATTGCAAATTTTAAACATACAGATGATTCACATTCTGGCAACTGAAGAAGATTTCAGTGCTCTGTCATTGAATGTAAAACTATTAAGCATTATTGACTAGTGTCCGAACAAATGATGGTAACACAGATTACTTCCCGATTAAAATAGGACTTCATCAAGGGTCAGCCTTGAGCCAGTATCTCTTTGCCTTGGTAATGGATGAAGTGACAAGGGACATTCAAGGGGATATCCCTTGGTGTATGCTTTTTGCAGACGATGTAGTGCTAGTTGATGAAAGCCAGGCAGGAGTAAATAGGAAACTAGAGTTGTGGCGACATACCCTTGAGTCCAAAGGTTTTAGAGTAAGTTGAACTAAAACAGAATACATGAGATGCGACTTTGGCAATGCTGCACATGAGGAGGGAGAGGTGAGTTTGGAAGGTCAAGTGGTGCCTAAGAAAGATACCTTTCGTTATCTAGGATCGATGCTACAGAAGGATGGAGATATTGATCCAGACGTTTGCCATATGATCAAAGTAGGGTGGATGATGAAGTGGCGTCAAGTATCTGGCATTCTCTGTAACAAGAGGGTACCACAAAAGCTTAAAGGCAAGTTTTATAGAACGGCAATTAGACCCGCTATGTTGTATGGAGCAGAATGTTGGCCTACAAAAAGACGACATGTCCAACAACTGACTGTCGCGGAAATGCGTATGTTGTGTTGGATTTGTGGTCACACAAGGATGGACCGAGTTCAGAACGATGATATAAGTGATCGTCTAGGGGTAGCACCAATTGAAGAAAAGCTTGTCCACCATCGGCTGAGGTGGTTTGGCCATGTCCAAAGGAGACCTTCAGTGCACCAATGCATTGTGGAGTCCTAAGTCGAGATATCAATGTGAAGAGAGGTAGAGGAAGACTGAAGCTGACATGGGGGGAGGCAATAAAAAGAGATTCAAAGGGTTGGGATATACCTAGAGATCTTTGTTTAGATAGAAGTGCTTGGAAAGCAGCTATTGATGTGCCTGAACCATGACTAGGGGCTCATGTTGGGTTTCAACTCTAGCCTACCCCAACTTACTTGGGACTAAAAGGCTTTGTTGTTGTTGTACCAAGAGAAACTATAAGACCAAACAAATCCAGATATTGCCCAGCTCACATAACCAGATTGGAATGAAAGCAGCCTTCAGACGTGGCATATTGACATGTTTGAGTACCCTGTGCAGTAGCAGCAGAGGTGGGCTGGTGGCTTCTAAATTTGCATAGAAGTAGCATAAGTTCAGTGTCCGGAACAATTCTATCTGTACTGATCTCAATTCACAAGCACTTGAGCCTGTTGTTTGGGCTGTATATGTAATAGGGCCCAAGATACCATGTGGAAGCATATATGTACTCCATAGCATAGCAATGACGTAGCAATCCAAATATTGTATACCAAAAGGCTACACTGCTGTAGAACTTAAATGGGGGAAAAACATTGTTACTCTTCTGAGAGGAAAACCATGAAGTCACTACAATTCACTATCTAATAAGCTAGAACTGATAGGTTCAGTGGTCTCCATCGGCAAAAGAAGGTGATTGACGCAAAGTATAAGCCCTACAAGACAGAAATGATTAATGCGGATGAGTACAATCTTTGGGAGTCAACTAAATGAGGCAAGTTTGGAGTAGCACACGACACAATAGGCCACCGGCATTTTTTTTTTTTTGGCAAATAACGGCTGTCTGTTTCGTGCCTGAATAATTAAGATTAATGAAAGATATGACACGTACAAGATAGTGGAAGTAAATTCCAGTAAAACTCTATGGATATCCGTTATAACCGGTATAGATGCATGTGCACGTGTTCCCCTTTCCCGGAATGCAGAAATAGGCACTTCAATTTTATAAGTTATTATTATTAGGAATAAGTATGGACTCGTCAACATAATAAGAGATTTAAAGAGATATGACTAATGAATCTGTAGTTTTCGCATTATCAATTCCCCTATTGTCAGTCAATTGTATCTACAGAACCACCTGCACTGCCATCTGTCCTAGGCATTCAGTAGTACCGAAAAAACGGCATTGCTTAGCAAGCTTGCCAGGGCTAGCACACACAGACACAGGGGCCGGGCTGTTTATAATAAATAAGCTTGAAAAAGACAAAACAGATGCGTTTGCTTGGATCGCGGCGGGCGGAACAAACCCGAAATCCTTTTTTTTGGGGGGCATAATATCACGTACGAGACGCTAGCTGTACAGAAACGATCAGCATAACAAGCCGTAGTAAACTCGGATGGTCGGAGCACGAGCATCCGACCCCAGCAACATGTGGAACTCGCATTGAAGGGGGGGGAGGCAAGAGTCGCTCCCCCGAGAAAGCTAGGGATTGCTTTGCTTACCGAGAGTTGCTTGTATCCCAAGCCCCGAGTGGCGACGGATCTGCAGTTCGGTCCGCAGCAGCCCGGCTCCAGCAGAGGGGAAGAGAGAGGCGGGGATGTGGGGTGGAGGAGGCGGCCGCGTTCGCCGGTTTCGCCCCCTTGTCGTGTTGTGGGATGGCCGCCTCGCCTCGCCTGGATGGAGAGAAGAAGAAGGACGAAGAAAGCGGGCCACCAGCCTATTTGTGTTGTGTTATGTTAGTAGGCCGTTTTTACGATGGTCTGGGAGCAATGAATGAGCCCACACGGCCCACTTCCACCTCTCAATTATTCGCTCGCTTCCGCCGCCACAGGGTTCATCAGCAGAAGCTGCTTGCTTGTCTGGTGGTCTCAAGCGCCGCCGCCGCCGCCACCGCCACCGCCACCGCCGTCGCCGCCGCCGTCCTCCTCCTCTACTGGTACGCTCGCTCACTTGTATCGATTTCTTCTCTTCCCACGCCTCTATTCACAGCAGAACAGTTGCTGATTCCCTTGCTGGGCTAGTTTCATCTCAGATTTTGCTTCGGGGTTCGACTAAATTTCGTCGGATGGACACCCAGCCGGTTCTGGCTCCCGCTATCGATGCCAGCGCTAGCGTCATGTGCCAGCTGCTGAGCCCCGAGGGAGACCCTCTCGGCGCTGCGCTCTATCTGCCCCAGAACGTCGGGCCCCCGCAGCTCCAGGAGATTGTCAATCAGCTCCTCCACAATGTATTACTTTACTCTAATTGTTTTCTTTCCCCTCTATCCAATTCTTTCACCTTACCTTGCTTCCCTATTGCTAATTCATTGATGTATTGTATTCATTCATTCAGGAGGAGAAGCTGCCCTATGCATTCTACGTTGGAGACGAGGAGCTCTCTGTCCAGCTGGGCGCTTACATGCGGCAAAAGAATGGTGAGATGAGATCCCTCAGCAGTTTAGCGCATTTCCCTTTTGTCTCTCTTTTTTTTTATGAAAGGCAAACTGTGTCGTATGTGCTGCCATCTAATTCCTACTTCCATCCCTTGTTTTCTTAAAATCTAGCCAATGTTGAGGTTACTCTGCGCATAGTATGCCAACCACAAGCACTTTTCCGGATCAGGCCGGTCAACCGATGCTCTGCCACAATTGCTGGTATGTCTCCCTGCCTGTTGTTCTGTTAATCATCCCTCCTAGCTATTATTTTGTCGACAAAATAAAATATACACACAATTGTTCATTTTGCTGGTCATGTCCAGTTAATTCAATAATATCTTGTCTACCACAACATTATGGTCATATCCAGTTAATTCAATAATATCTTGTCTACCACAACATTGTGGTCATATCCAGTTAATTCAATAATAAAAATACACGCAATTATTATGTTTCTTTTGGGAGTGTTTGTTTGCCAACCACAACATGCCACAACTCGCCATGCCCTAACCTTCAGCATGCTTAGCCACCGTTTGGAGGAAACTCCAGCGTCTCTTGTGTGTTTTTAGCAGCCATTCCTTGCCAAAAGTTTGGCGCAGGATTTCAGCACCGCAACTTGCCGTAGGTTGGGCGAGCTGTGCTTTAGTTATGGCCGGTTGCAGCATGCAACCAAACAATATGTTTCTCCTTGAATGGTCTACTCACAATCTTCTCTTTCTGCAGGCCACACGGAAGCTGTAATTGCTGTTTCTTTTAGCCCTGATGGAAAGAGTTTGGCGAGCGGTTCAGGTGACACCACTGTTCGCTTTTGGGACCTGAGTACGCAGACTCCATTGTTCACATGCAAAGGTGGAATGCTCAGTACCCTATCCTTGTTTATTAGTGATTTACTGCAATGCTGCCCGTTCCTTAAATTCTGGTTCTTGGGTAGGTTGCATACATCCATGTTGGCCAATTTAATCTTAGTTGCATGGCAAACCACTAAAATGACCTTGGAACTAGCCTTTTATATTATTAGCAGAGTAATTGGACAAAGAGAGGATTACTACAATATAATACGCTGATGATCCATCTATGCACTTTTGCTGTATAAACATATGAATTGGAACCTTTGAATCATTGAATGATGGCATATTACAGCTTCTTTTAATGACAAAGTGTTTTTCCAACCTATATTGTGCATGTTCAAACCCATTCCTTGCAATGAACATTGAACACACTACATGAACCATTTTTAAGCCTAATACTCCCTCCGTCCAAAAGTCTAAAGCGCCTTAGCAAAATTGAGTTTTCTAGAAGTCTAAATCGTCTAAGCTTCTCTCTCCTGTTTTACTTGGTTTCCAACGCTCACAACTTGTGTTCCTGGCCAAATGAATGCATTGCCGTTCATATACTCCCTCTGTCAGGTTGGTTATTCATCTAGGAGCTTCCGCATGCAACAGCGTTAGCATCTGTTTACACGGGAAAACTGATAGACACTGGTGCATTAAAGGGAGCACGCGATTAAATGAAAATTGTCATGCCTGGAGTCCTCCTTGGTCACAGTGCTCGAGGCTTTGGATGGAGACCTTATCTTCTATGTGCAATCTCTGTTGTAGCACACTTTAAGCTTTTGCTAGTAAAGCCTGCCAGTTTCTACCGTGACACTATTGTCGAGTTTGTCTTGCTTGTATGTTCTTTCTTTGCTGCACTCTATAACTTATGAGACTTTTGATAGTTGCACATCTGTGCACTGCGCTTCGCCTATGTTGTTTCTAACCCTCATATTGCAGGACACAAAAATTGGGTTCTCTGCATTGCGTGGTCACCTGATGGAAAACAACTTGTTAGTGGAAGCAAGTCAGGAGAACTTATATTATGGGACCCAAAAACTGGAAACCAATTGGGCACTCCACTTATGGTACAATCATGCATTGCTTAGTTTTTTAGTCCTAGGCCTGCTGAACAATGATTTTATAATTATGGTAGCCTTTCTTTTCTGTGTTGTTAGGCTAGACTGTCCTGTGTATATATTCCCAAGCATGCATTTGTATGACCCACAATTCGAAATAGATGATAATTACTACTACAAACTTTATTCTTTCTTAGTAGGTTAAATGTGTCCATATCATACTTTGCATCTTTCAGATGTTTCTGTTTCCAATGTCCACCACTCATTTAGCGTGCCTTGTGTTACAAAATAGGGACACAGGAAATGGATTACTGCTGTATCATGGGAGCCAGTTCATTTACAGTCTCCATGCCGCCGCTTTGTAAGTGCAAGCAAGGATGGTGATGCTCGCATTTGGGACGTCACCACAAGGAAATGTGTTATTTCCCTTACAGGGCACACTAGTTCAGTGACTTGTGTCAAGTGGGGTGGAGATGGTTTGATTTATACTGGGTAAGACATAAATTTTGGTCCTTTCCTTTTTTTTGGAAAAAATATTATAGCTTTGGCCTCTTGTATTCTGCACTTATTCATTTACTACCATGGGAAATATGAGTGCTCTTGAATAATTGATGTTTACTAACAAATCCAGTGATTCGATCATGGTTCAATACTGTATACTATATACTAGCATTATACAGAGTACGAGAAAATAAAAATTAGACCTGCTGATCTATTAAGTGTGAAAACTTTGCTTTTTATCTTTTCATCAGTAGGAGTAAATTGTCTTCATCATAGATTCATTGCAAATTCTTCTGATGGTCTTGTTCCCCTTTTTCTATGAATATAAGGTGAAGTCTGCATGTGTGCCAATTCTTAAGGTTTTTCTTTCGAGAATTGTGGAAAAAGAATTTGATTCTCAGTTAGATAATTCCTAGATTTACTATTGACCTATTGTAACCTAATCGGATAACAAGTTGAAATTATCTGTCAACCAGAAATAAAAGGCTCGTTCACTTACATATGTTTTCTCCTTTTTTTTTAAAATTTCTGTGCTCCTTGATACTTTATTCAACTCAGATGTCTACAGACATATGATAAATCAGTTTTAATTGACCATAAGTTCTTAAATTGTCATTACAAATGACGCACAATAAGAAACCTTGCTCTTATGTTTTTTTTTAACTTGAAGTTATTTTTTCCATATATCAGTCTGAACACAATTCTTCTTTCACTGTAGTTCTCAAGATTGTTTAATCAAAGTATGGGAAACGTCTCAGGGAAAGTTGGTCAAAACATTGAAGGTGTGCATCAATCCACAAAATATTTGCATACTTATGCTCTGATGCTCATGTGCCTGGATACTCGATTATTGTTTTGTTTAACTTAAGAGTTTATAATTGTACTTTACTTAATCGTATTCTGAAGTTTTATCTCACTATAAAATCATTGGTGTTTTCATTTCATTTTCTAAAGGTAATTGTTCTTGCATATTCAGGGTCACGGGCACTGGGTGAATTCGCTTGCCTTGAGCACGGAATATGTTCTCCGTACTGGAGCATATGACCACACTGGCAAAACATTTTCGACTGCAGAGGAAATGAAAGAGGTATATTGATGGCACTTGGCCTAGTGCTTGTATTTCCTTTATTTTGTTGCCTATCCTAATAGCAAATTAGTTTTGGCTCAAGATTACATATAATATATGTCACCATTTTTTATGAATATTGTCTTTTTGGAATATTTTTCCTCCTCACTTGACAACCTTTTGTATTTAGGCTGCTCTTGCGAGATACAAGAAGATGAGGGGTAATGCTCCAGAGAGACTAGTTTCTGGTTCTGATGATTTTACAATGTTTCTTTGGGAACCAACAATTAGTAAACAACCTAAAGCTCGCATGACTGGTCATCAGAAGGTATAGCGTCTCTCGTCTCATTGCCTCCAGACAACATTGTTTTTTTGAAATTTCCAGACAACATTCTTGTATTAGTATACATGTTTCCGCTGGTACATGTATTTATTTATATCCTTTGTTGTCTTAATGTGGATAGTTTACAGAATCGTTAATGTTTATTTTCCTACTAGTTTGGCAGTTAATGCGTATGATGTATCTCCACATTCAGTTCACAGTAGTATTTGAAACAATTATGGCTTTTGTACTCAGTTGTCCATAAAGTATCGGATTGCTTGATCAAGTTTTTTTTCTTAGGTTGTGTAAGTAACTGTAGTTAATTGTTTGTTTATATGCAATTGTAAGTGATCATTTTGTTCGTTTCTTTTTGCAGCTTGTAAACCATGTTTACTTTTCCCCTGATGGGCAATGGTTGGCAAGTGCATCCTTTGATAAATCTGTCAAGTTGTGGAACGGTATTACAGGTAAATTTGTTGCAGCTTTCAGAGGGCACGTTGCAGATGTCTACCAGATCAGGTGAGTTTTTTTAATGAAAAGAATAATTCCCCAGATTTCAGACATTCCAATGCTTGACAGCGTTATTTCTCTGTAGCTGGTCTGCCGACAGTAGGCTTCTACTTAGCGGAAGCAAGGATTCCACTCTAAAGGTATCTATATATCTATTTATATGTGTTCACTTGACTTTAGCTGTACTGTTGTGTTGTTCATTCGACACCAACCTTGTACACTTCCTCTCCTATAAAAGAAACTTTGTACTTCCTCCGATTCACATATATAAGTTCATTATAGGACACCAACATGGTATCTAATATTGCATTTTGACTTGCAATATCTATTGTATTTTTTCTTTAGGGCATGGTGCCTATGTGTGCCCAAGTTGGGAAAGAGTCCCATTGCTGTGTATAAACTCTTTTCCCACCTTAATTGAAAGGCATAGCTCCTGCCACTTCTTTCATTTTTTTTTGCAATATCTATAAGAATAAGAATAGAGAGCTGCTCTAGGTACAACTATTTCGTATGATTAACATCCGACCAGAAGCAGCACAGCTAGACATTTCAGTCGTGTGTGAAGCTAATTTGATAAGAATGTATATTATCTTAAATAAAGGCAGTTATATATTGTGAAGGTATTCTTCACGAGGAATGTACCAGTGCCAATCTTGCTGTCAATCTATATAAAAATTTAGAAAGTGATGGTCAAAGTTAAACGAGTTGACTTAGGAAAAAAACCCAGGTTGACTTGTATTTTGAAATTTAAGGAAGTATTCGGTTGTACTTGTGGTGTGATTATTTGGCTTTGTTAGTAATTTCAAAAGCTATATCAAGTCAGACGTGGTTCAGTTCATTATCCAAAGAAACATGAATATAGATTGGTCTTTCTGTGCTCATATGCCTCGGTACCGAGAATTCAATGAATGGGTGTAGCAGTGTCTCCAGATGCTGATGCTTGTAGGTTGGAATTTTGAATGGACAACCCGTGTGAGTATCTGTTGCTTTGCTGATATATTATACATTTCAGATTTGGGATATTCGAACACACAAGTTGAAAATGGACCTGCCGGGCCACGCGGATGAGGTATCTCGTTGCTTTGACAAAATCGAGTTGGTCATCAATAATATTGTTGTATTGCTGATTACTGAGTATAAAGAGAGAACTGAGACGATGATGCATGTGATGATTATTAGGTGTACACCGTTGATTGGAGTCCGGACGGTGAAAAGGTGGCGTCTGGTGGCAAGGATCGGGTCCTCAAGCTATGGATGAACTGACGACCGGGGTATAGCTGCTAGGGATTGAAGTAATGATGGCAACGGGTACAAACCCATTGGGTTTGATCAACCCAAACCCATTGGGTTTGATCAACCCAAACCCATCAGGTTTCGGGTACCCGTTGCTATCTTTAGATTGAAGTATTATGCATACAAAGATACCTAGACAAGAAAGCTCCTGGTCCTGTAGGGATGATGGCATTGTGTACCGTGGATGATATATATGATTTAGCGATGTAGTGATGATATATTGAAGGTATTTATAGAAATTTTGTCTATGTACTGGTGCTGGCATCGACAACATCTATATACGTATGCACAAGACAAACCAGAATGAATTTGTGCGTGAAGCAACAGAGCGTTGCAACAATCATTTAGGCCCTGTTATGCACAGTTTCTCTAGCAGTTTCAGGAGCTGTTTAGAGTTGAGTGTTTCATTTTGTTTTCCTATAACAAGATAAAATGAAACAACCCATCAAGTGAAACTCTTCTAAAAACCTTCTCTCACATGGGTGGATGTTGGATGTCACAGGGGGTGGTAGAAGTTGGATGGAGCTGAAGATACTGGCTTTCTCTCCCAACTCCTTCCAGAACATCTATGAACTTATCGGGTATCGATATTAGGGATACCCAAAGCAAAGAAGTTAGCGCCCATGCTGACTTCCCCGGATGGCTTCACACGTATTAAAAGGTCTTGCCCGACCCCAAGGCCGCGGGCTCCGTCTCGCCCGACCTCGAGGCCGCGGGCTCCGTCTTGCCCGACCTCAAGGCCGTGAGCTCCGTCTCGCTCGACCTCAAGGATGCGGTTTCCGTCTCGCCTAAGGTCACGAGCTCCGTCTCGCCCGACCTCGAGAACGCGGGTTCCGTCTCATCCGACGGGGACCCATACCGCCGCCAACCACTCCAGGTCCAAGCGTATGGGCCTGGGTCAAAACTCTAAAGCCAGGGAAGAGGTTGGCACGCCTCGATGTAACCGTGACCATGACGGGCTATACCTAGGGATTCACATCAATAATAGTGTCGGGTGTGCTGGTGCTATTCTGCCTAATCCTTGTACGGACGCTGACTGGCGCGTCAGTTCACCACGACGTCCGCCCGGACGGAGTGGAACGCCATGACCGGCAGATGACGCCTGCGCATGACGCCAGTGACGAACAGGGCGGCGACATGAAGCCGTCCCTGTTGACATCTACAGGATCGGCGGGACCCGCATGAAGGAGAAGAAGGACCCGGCAACCCTGAAAGCTTTCTTCTCTCTCTCGATTCTTCTCCTTTTCCTCCTCTATAACCCGCGCTTTCTCTTCGCCTATAAAAGGGGAAGCAGGGCGCCCATGAAAAGGGGGGATCGGACCACAAGAGCACTACACGAGCACACGATTGAGCGGCAAGCGAGCTCTCAACACCCGTTCACTCCTTCCACCAGAGAGTTGGGATCCTCTCCCTCTCTCGCCTATTTGTAACCCCTACTACAAACCAACTATCGGTAACACGAGCAGCAGCGAACTGGACGTAGGGACATTTCGCCTAAACCAGTATAAACTTTTGTGTCCTCCGAGCACACCATCCGTGCCAGACGCGCAAACACAAATTTACTCGTCGGTGGTCCGAAAACACCGACAGTTGGCGCGCCAGGTAGGGGCTTTTTGCGCATCTCGACGTCCACATGAGGCCTCGGATGGCTAGTCACGGCGTCAGCTGGGTCCCGAACGCGCGCGCGTGCGCTTTGGGAACCTAGACTTCATCGTTACGACAGAGGGAGAGTTGGCGCAGGTTCTCGCCGCCGTCTAGCCTCTCCACTCCGCCGGCCTCGACGCGATCGCCGAGGAGCTTGAGGAGCTGCAGCTTGCACGCACCGGAGGCCCACGCCCTCGGGAGCGACCAGCTCCTCGGCTTTGATTATCGGAGGCTAGAGTGCTAGCTGGCGCCTTCCTAGGACCCCGACCGTCTCGGGAGGACCCGTGCCGCCTCACCTTCTCGTTCGCCAACGTCATGACACAGCTTACTAGAGGAGAGCCGCTCTCCCCAGAATACCTCATCCGGAGCGCCCCAACAGCGCTCCCATTCGGTCTGCGCAACGTCGCAGAGATTGTTGGCCACCTTGTGGCGCAGCGCACGCCCCCATCCCCTATGAACGATGAGTTCGTGGGGATGATCGAATACGTCATGAAATCTTTCCACGACCTTCTCGTGGGAGAATTGGAGTCACCCTCCGACTCTGATTCTAGTAGGGGGAGCCATCACCCCTCGTGAGAATGTTTCATGGCAGGTACCACCGAGGGATACATCGAAAGCATCCACGAGGGAGAGGCTACCCCAACAGACGACCTCAACGATGAGGTCGAGGGGGATGCAAGGGCCCCACCTCGCCTGTGGGTAGAGCAGCTGAGGGCGCGGCACCAAGAGCTCAAAGAAGCACGACTCCAGCTCAAGCAGGAACGCGTGGAGCTCAAGCGAGAGATCGAGCGCTACAGAGACGGTGGACGTGCACGCACCGTGGCCCACGATGTGAACCAAAGGATCATCGAGGACGACGAAGCCCTCCCACACTTCACCCCGGGCAAGCCAAAACATCGCTGCTGCGCGCGGCCTTGCTTCGTGGGCTTCTGGAGCCCACGACACCCAAGGATCATCGGGCCCATCGTGAGATTCGTACGCTACTTGAGCGTGCGGCGGAGCAACAGGCCGAGAGCTTGCTGTCCCAACGACATGAGCTCAACGCTAGCCAGGGCACGCCCTCAGAGCGCCCCGACAGGGATGTGTTAGTCCACCAGGCGCAGCGAGGTGGCAGGCCACACGCCGTAGCCCCGGTGCATGAGCGTCTCGTCCTCCATCATGACGCGCGCAACGCCCTGGATGCCCGTAGGCGTGCCCACAGCGATGAGAGGGAGGAGGCTAGCCGCGGCTACCACCCTCATTGTGATAGACGCTACGACAGCGGCGAGGACCGAAGCTCGAGCCCTGACTTGCCGAGACCTCAGACCTTTGGCCGACACATCCTCAACGCCGTCTTCCCACCGCGGTACTGACCGCCGACCAACATCCTGAAATACTCCGGGGAGACAAACCCTAGACTATGGCTCGAGGATTATCGGCTTGCTTGCCAAGCCGGTGGAGCGAATAGTGATAATTTCATTATCCACAACCTTCCATTGTTCCTGGCCGATTCGGCGAGAACGTGGTTGGAACACCTTCCGCCCAACCGAATCCAAAGTTGGGCGGACCTAAAAGAGATCTTTGTGGGAAACTTCCAGGGCACATACGCGTCCTAGGAACCCATGGGATCTCAGAAACTGCTGACAGAAGTCCAGGGAAACTCTTCGTGGGTACATCCGATGCTTCTCTCGGTAGTGCAACGAGCTGCTCGACGTCGCCGACGCCGATGTCATAGGAGCTTTCCTGTCTGGGACCACCTGCGAGTCCCTGGTTCACAAGCTAGGACGTAAGGGCCCGCGAACCACCAAAGAGCTTCTCGACATCACCACCAGCCACGCCTCGGGCGAGGAGGCGGTCGGGGCAATTTTTGACCGCCTCAAGGGCAAGGAAAAGCGGGACGAGGACACCGGTGAAGGTGCCTCCAACCGCCCCAACAAGAAGAAGAATAAGCAGTAGTGCTCTGGAGCCTAAGGACGACCCCTAGCCAGGCCACCGGCTACACGCCATTCTTCATGGTCTACGGTTCCGAGGCTATCCTCCCGACCGACCTCGATTATGGAGGGCCGAGGGTCAAGGCGTACGATGAACAGGGAGCTGAGGCGTCCCTTGAGGATGCCATGGAATAGCTAGATGAAGCACGCGATGTTGCCCTCCTTCGCTCGGCCAAGTACCAGCAAGCATTGTGCTGGTACCACAACCGTCGAGTGCGGGGTCAGGCCTTCAACATCGGGGACCTGGTGCTCCTCCTCGTCCAGAGCAACAAAGAACCGCCACAAAGCTCTCTCCGCCGTGGGAGGGACCGCACGTCGTTGTGGAGGCTATCCGACCAAGTACACCTAGAACATTGAACAGCTACGTCGCTTTTACCCTTAATCTACGCATGCTTTCTTTTATCGGTTTCGCTATCGACTCCTCGATCTTTAGTGACACCCGACCCCAGCAACGGCAAGGGGTCGGGCCTCATGCGGGGGCTGATAAGAGCATATCTATTCGGTAGGCATTCTCTATGCCTGACCCTTTCTCACGTTAAGATCTAGAAGTAAGGGTTGCGGAAACAAACACTGAGTACAACTAGTCGGACCGCAAAAACCTACGCCCCAGCTGCAATGGCGTTTTTGCTCACCAGCGTGATCAGAGTCTTTTGCCCGCACCCCGAGCTTTTTAACCTTAACCACGGAAAGAGTCAGAACGCATTAAAGAATATGTCTATCCGGTAGACATTCTCTATGCCCGACCCTTTCTCACGTTAAGATCTAGAAGCAAGGGTTGTGAAAACGAACACTGAGTAAAACTGGTCGGACCACAAGAAACCTACGCCCCTGCGGCTATGGCGTTTTTGCTCACTAGCGTGATCAGAGTTTTTTCACCCGCACCCCGAGCTTTACAGCCTTAACGACGGAAAGGTTCAGAATGCATTAACCTTTTTTATATGCTCCGCCTCGTCCAGAGCAACAAGAACCGCCACAAGCTCCCTTCGCCGTGGGAGGGACCGTACGTCGTCGCGGAGGTGCTCTGACCAGGCACCTATAAGCTCAAGACCATCAACGGCGAAGTCTTCGTCAACGCCTAGAACATCGAACAGCTATGTGGCTTTTACCCTTAATCTACGCACACTTTCTCTTATCGATTTCGTTATCGACTCCTCGATCTTTAGTGACACCCGACCCCAGCAACGGCAATGAGTCAGGCCTCACTCGGGGACTGATAAGGGCATATCTATCTGGTAGACATTCTCTATGCCCGATCCTTTCTCACATTAAGATATAAAAGCAAGGGTTGCGGAAACAAACGCTGAGTAAAACTAGTCAGACCACAAGAAACCTACGCCCCAGCGGCTGCGGCGTTTT